CCTCCCTCCCTCCCTCCCTCCCTCCCATGGTGACTAAGTCCCCCTCTGTGCCAATGCTTTGGGGAGCCTGAAGATGAACCAGTAATGGTTTTTGCCTTCAGGGACATTGTGGTTGGCCGGCAGAAATGAGAGACCCACAGCACAATTATCCCAAGTGTTCATGCACGTGCATTAAAGAGTCACAAGCACCAAGTCACCTCAACAGAGTCATCTCCAACAGGTTTAACCTATTGGAACAAGGACCACCTGGGAAATTAAATAAAGAATTACTTTCCTGTTTGCCTTAAAGTTATTTGGAGCCTGTTACAGTGTTTTAAGCATTCTTTTCATATACATGTATGTGTATGATTTAAACATCGCTTAAGAACACTGGTGGTCTGTATGCATTCTGATATAGAACGTTTTGGAGGAACTCAAAGCATCTTGACCTGATAATGAAATAATAACCACCCAAGAAAGGCTAACAGTTTCAGACGTTGTCACCTGTAGCCAGCATCTACAGTTCTATCTCAAGCCTTTTTCTTATCTTTCTAATTTTTCCCCAAAATAAGTGTTCTTGAGCCCCAATGTGGAAACAGGTACCCTTGGAGGTACTGCCAGCGTGGCAAGAAAGAGCAGATCCTGGGCCAAGTCTTCCGTGACATGGCTTCCCAGCTGGTTCCGGGTCTCATCCTCGCTGCTGCCAGCGTGAATGCAGATCTCAGAATGCCACGCCCCTCCCAAGAGACTTCAAGGCTCCCTCTTCTGTAGAAAAAGTCCAAGGTCTTTAACGACCAAAGTTCATCATAAATTTGACGCCAGCCTGCTTCCGCTCGGCCTCTTGCTCCGTTCCCCTATACACAGCTTTGGCAACCGCCTCAACGAATGAATGGTTTGCCGCTTTCTCACCGCAGCCTGCATTCGAACACACGCGAAGTTGTTCAGACTGTCCCCTTAGCCTCTGTGGCCCACTCTGCATCTGTCTTTCCTTCGCACCTAACTCAAGCATCCCCTTGGCTCGGACGCCTTCCTCCAACCACAGCCAAATGCAGCGCCTCCTGTGGTGCTCCGGGGCATCGCGCTCCCGCTTCCTTGTTAGCCCTTGTCTCAGCGGGAGGTGAATTCTATAGTTAGGGGTGTGTGTCTCCCCCATTAAACTTTCAGCTCCTCAAAGGCAGAAATGTTTCTTGCTCAGATCCAACTCTGCAGACATGGCAAAGAGAGCTGGTACAGGGTAAAGACTATAAATACTGGTTTTACTGAATATGCATGTGGATGTATAATGGATTGAATGCAAGTACACCAGTCCAGCTCAAAGGTGACTAATGATGCTTATGCATGGCACAAAGACACAAGGTGCAGTGAATCACAGCAGACAGTAAATTTTTTTGGTCTTCCAAGTTTAAGGAAACCTTTCTATTTTTGCCTCTGAGTAGAGTTTTAATAGAATTAATAAAACAGAAGAGATATTATTTGAGGTGTCCAATTCAGTTAGCAGCTCAAAAGGCTGATGTTTACCTTATTTGAATTCTGGGTGGCTCTGCAGCCATTTATTTGCTTTATTGCAGTGGGGAAGATGACTGCATAGGCAGGCTGAGAAACTAGCATTGGAGAATTGCCAGGAAACTTCATACAATATAAAACGATCAGAAAAGTGATATACAAATGCTGCATGAACAAGTAATTATGCAAATTATATAAGCCAGAGAAACTCAAATCTTAAATTCAGAGGCTTCTTGGGTTATTAATTTTTTTTTAACCCACCCACAAACCTACTGCAGGAATGACTCTATTCCAAAGATGTGATTAATACTAAGACCAGAAGGGGGAAAATGGCAACAGGGAGAACTGAAGTCATTCCAAACCCAAGCACAAGCTGCTGTTGACACAGTTAGCATGAAAAGGAGTCTCTCTGGGGTTTGCAGGTCCTTCTTAGCAGAGCAGTGAGAAAACTTGGTGTCCACTGTGGGCGACGCATTGTGGTGTCATAATGTTGCAGCTGAGTTGTTTGGAATCATTTTTGCACCATTACTACGCATTTCTCTGCAAACTGCATCTCACTGGCTGTCATCCAAGCCAGATTAAACTGCAAAATGGGTCAGGCTTTGTGAGACTGTAGGTACAAAGTGTTGTCTCCTTTTTTTCCACATCCTCCTCAGCTAGCGCTAAGGCAAGAAGCACATTGGATCCAAAGGCCAAGAGTCACTCTTTTAGTACCATCATTTATGGTGTGATTAGCAATTTGAGAGAAACAGCCTAAATGGCTAATTATAAGGTATTGGTTAATTTAGGTCATTATTGGACCAAAGGTACCATATGCTGTGATTTTAAAATAATGTTGTAGATTATTATGTGAAAATATACTCATAAGAACATTAAATGACAAAGAAGAATGCTATAGGCCAGGCACAGTGGCTCACACCTATAATCTTAGCACTTTGGGAGGCTGAGGTGGGAGGATCACTTGAAGCCAGAAGTTCAAGACCAGCCTGGGCAACATAGCAAGATCCCATCCCTACAAAAAATAAGAAAAATGCACCAGATGTGGTGCTGAGTGCCTGTAGTCCCAGCTACCAGAGAGGCTGAAGTAGGAGAACTGTTTGAGGCCAGGCATTCGAGGCTGCCAGGAGCTGTGACGGCACCACTGCACCGTAACCTGGGCAACAGAGGGAGAACTCATCTCTAAAAGAAAGAAGCAGCAGTATGTTATAAAAGAGTACTGCCCACCGGATCCTGTTTTTATTAAAATGTGTGCAAGAGTGCACATCAAAAATCTCAGGAAGAACACACACTTAGGTGCTTACCTCTCTCTAAATGCTGAGACTGCAGATCTTTTTTTAATTTTATATTTGAAGAACAAACATTTATTATATCATGGTTTCTGCCAGTCAGGGATTTGGGTGGTTTTGTGTGATTTTGTGCATAGTTCAGGGTCTCTCATGAGGTTGTGGTCAAGATGTTGGCCACCATCATCTGAAGGCTTGACTGGGGTGGAGGATCCTCTTCCAGGATGCTGTGGGAAGTTCCTCTCCACATGGACCTCTCCACAGGCTGCCGTGTGTCCTCAAAACCTGGCAGCTGGCTCCCTCCAGAGTTAGTCACCCAAAAGGGAAGAAGAGCAAGGTAGAGCCATGATGTCTTTTTTTTTAGTGTATTATGGGGGTACAAGTGTTAAGGTTACGTATATTGCTCATGCCCCCCTCCCCCTTTGAGTCAGAGGCTTAAGTGTGACCATCCCCCAAACGTTGCACATCTTACTCATTGTGTTTGTATATACCCATGCCCCCCCACCTGCCCGACACCTGATAAATGTTATTCCTATATGTCCACTGAGGTGTTGATCCAATTTGCTGGTGGGTACATGTGGTGCTTGTTTTTCCATTCTTGAGATACTTCACTTAGTAGAATGGGTTCCAGCTCTATCCAGGAAAATATAAGAGGTGCTATATCACCATTGTTTCTTAAAGCTGAGTAGTACTCCATGGAATACATATGACGCATTTTATTAATCCACTCATGAATTGATGGGCACTTGGGTTGTTTCCACAGCTTTGCAATTGTGAATTGTGCTGCTATAAACATTCGAGTGCAGGTGTCTGTTTGTAGAGTGTCATTTGATCTTTTGGGTAGCTGCCCAGTAGTGGAATTGCTGGATCAAATGGTAGATTTACTTATATTGCTTTAAGATATCTCCATATTGCTTTCCACAGAGGTTGAACTAGTTTGCAGTCCCACCAGCAGTGTAGGAGTGTTCCTATCTCTCTGCATCCAAGCCAACATTTATTGTTTGGGGACTTTTTGATAAAGGCCATTCTCACTGGAGATAAGTGATATCTCATTGTGGTTTTGATTTGCATTTCCCTGATGATTAGAGATGTTGAACATTTTTTTATTATGTTTGTTAGCCATTATTCTGTGTTCTTTTGAGAAGTTTCTGTTCATGTCCTTTGCCCATTTTTTGATAGGGTTGTTTGATTTTTTTCTTGCTGATTTTCCTGAGTTCTAAATAGATTCTAGTTATCAGCCCTTTATCAGATGTGTAGCTTGCAAAAATTTTCTCCCATTCTGTGGGTTGTCTGTTTGCTCTCTTGACAGTTTCTTTGGCTGTGCAGAAGCTTTTATATTTGATCAGGTCCCATTTATTTATTTTTGTTGCTGCTGTGATTGCCTTTGGGGTCTTCTTCATAAATTCTTTGCCTAGGCCAATGTCTACAAGAGTATTTCCAATGTTTTCCTCTAAAATTCTAATAGTTTCACACCTAAGGTTCAAGTCTGTTACTCAGCGTCAGTTGATTTTTGTGAGAGGTAAAAGGTGTGGATCCTGTTTCAGTCTTCTGCATGTGACTATCCAGTTTTCCCAGCACCATTTATTGAATAAGGATTATTTTCCCCAGTGTACGTTTTTGTCTGCTTTGTCGAAGATGAGTTGGCTATATGAGGATGGTTTTATATGTGGGTTCTCTGTTCTGTTCCACTGGTCAATGTCCCTGTTCTTGCGCCAGTCCCAAGCTTTTTTGATTACTATAGCTTTGTAGTATAGTTTGAAATCTGATAAATTGATAGCTCCTATTTTGTTTTTATTGCCTAGGATTGATTTTGCTATACGGGGTCTTCTCTGGTTCCATACAAAGCATAAAACTATTTTTTCCATATCTGTGAAAAATGTTGATGGTATTTTAATAGGGATGGCATTGACTCTGTAGGTCACTTTGGGTAGTATAGACATTTTAACAATGTTGATTCTGCCAACTCATGTGCATGGTATATTCTTCCATCTGTTTATGTGCTTTACTATTTCCTTCTTCAGTGGTTCATAGTTCTCCCTGTAGAGGTCTTTTACCTACTTAGTTAAATATATTCCAAAGTACTTTATTCTCTTTGTTGCTATTTTTCAGGGAATTGAGTCTTTGATTTGCTTCTCACTTACACTGTTATTGGTGTATATGAATGCCTCTGATTTCTGTGTGTTGATTTTGTATCCTGAGACTTTAACCAAATTCATTTATCAGTTCAAGGAGTCTCTTGGTTGAATCCTTGGGGTATTCTAGGTATAATATCATGTCATCAGCAAAGAGTGAGAGTTTGATCTATTCCTGTCCCATTTGGACTGCCCCCTTACTCTCTGCTCTCTGTCCTGATTGCTGTAGCAAGACTTCCAGCACTAATGTTGAATATAAGTGGAGATAGTGGGCAACCTTGTCTTTCTTGTTCCAGTACTAAGTGGGAATGCTTTCAATTTTTCCCCATTCAGTATGATATTGGCTGTGGTTTCATCATATATATATATATATATATATATGGCTTGGTATCATTTTTAGTAGCCCGTCTACGCCTATTTTGTTAAGCATTCTTATCAAAAAAGGTGTTGAATTTGCAAATGCTTTTCTGCATCTATTGAGGATCATATGGTCTCATTTTGCTTCTGTTATAAGGTGAATTATATTTATAGTTTTGTGTATGTTGAACCATCCCTGCATTCTGGATGAAGCCACTTGGTGTGATGGTGTTTTCTCGACAGCACCTGGATTTGATTGGCTAGGATTTTGTTGAGAATTTTTGCATCTATATTCATAAGGGATATTTGTCTATAGTTTTCTTTTTGTTGCATCCTTCCTGTTTTGGTATCAGGTTATGTTCGCTTCATAAAATGTGTTGGGAGATTCCATCCTTCTCTCATGTGTGGATATTTTTGCAGGATAGACAGTTCTTCTTTGTAGGTGTGGTAAATTTGGGTGTGAAACCATCTGGCTCAGATTTTCTTTTTGGGAAGGTTTTTTATTGCCATTTCATTCATTAGTTGATATTGGTCTGTTTAGGAATTCTATTTCTTCCTGGTTGAGCCTTAGGGAGGCTGTGGTTTCTAAAAATTGTCCATTCCTCCACATTTCCAGTTTGTGTGCTAGAGTTTTGTAGTATTCATAAATTATATTGTATCTCCAGGACATGAGTGAATTCTCCTTTTTGTCCTGATGGAGCCTTATTAGAGATTCTTTCTTTTCTACTTGTTCGTTAGTCGTAGCAAAGGTGTGCCAATTTAGTTATTTTTTCAAAGACCAACTTTTTGTTTATTAATCTTCTGTATAGTTTCCCTGTTGTCAATGTCATTTAGTTCTGATTTGATTTAATGATTTAACTTCTTCTCCTGGTTTGGGGTTGGTCTGTTCTTCTTTTCCAGCTCTTTGAGACAATTCATTAGGTTGTCTATTGTCCTCTTTTTGACTTTGGATATAGACGATTTATGGAAATACTTTCCCTCAGACTTCTTTAGCTGTGTCCCACAGGTTTGTAACTTGGTGTCTCTTTGTCATTTAGTTCAAAGAACTTTTATTTCCATCTAATTACCGTTTATGAAGTGATCATTCAGCAAAAGGTTGTTAATTCCATGACTGTGTTAAAATGAGAACTCCTGTTAGGATCAATTTCTACATTTATTCCTTGTGGTCTCGAATAGACATGGTATAATTCAGTTATTCCTTGAATTTAGACGAAAGATTATGTGTCATAGGAATTGGTACAATCTCAGGAATGACAATAGACGATAGAGACGATATATTCCAGCTGGTTATGGGAGGTAGAGAATGTCGATAAAATGTATCCGCCACATTATATGTTCGGAGTTCTGTAAGTCATTAATATAGAATCTTTGTATTGTATTTAACTGATTTGGAAGGCGAATCTTCCTTGCTGTCAGATTGGGGGTGTATAAGTCTCTGACAATTAAAGTAGTTGTTGATTATACCATCTGATTTAGATCAAGTAAGAGTTTGATTAATGATCATGAGGTGCACCAAGGTTGGTGCATATATATAGAAGTGTTAATGTCTCTTGTTAACTGTACCGTTCACCATTATAATACCTTCATTTGTATTTTATAATATATTGGATTAAATTTAAAACATAAAGTTATCTATAATCAGCATGCATGACCAGCATCTTTGGTTCTGTTGCTTGATTTGTTCTCCCACCCTTATACCTTAGTCTAGTGTTCACTTGCAGGTTAGACGTGTTTCCTGATAGGCAGCAGATAATTCTGGCTTGTGTTATTTTTATCCATTCGGCAGCTATGTTCTTGAGTTAAAAATATCATTTATTGATAAATGATAGTGGGGCAGATTTTGATCATTTTGTTGAGGAGTAACGTATGTGCTTTTTTCATTGTCTCTTGAGCCATATGATGGTTTGGGCTTAGCTTTGGGAGTACATTTAATCTCGATGGTGTTTATTGTGCTGATCCGTGGGTAACACTGTTTTGAGTACTTCTTGAAGGGCTGATCTCATCTTGGTGAATTCCCTCAGTCTTTGCTTATCTGAGAATGTCTTGATTTCTCCTTCATATACAAAACTTAATTTTGCAGGAAATAAGATTCTAGGCTGGGCATTGTTCTGTTTCAGAAGAGTGAGAATGGGGTCCCAGTCTCTCCTTGCTTGTAAAGTTTCAGTAGAGAAGTCTGGTATTAT